CTTTTTAAATGTCTGTTCAGCGCTTTTGTCGTCCGGTTCCCCATCACTGATAGAGTCGTATCCGAAGTCTTTGTCCGACTTTTCCGAGTCTATCATCAATTGTATGAAATCTGTGCGACGTTTGGCTATAAATATAAAAATATAATTGTTTTAACATTTAATTATGATTTAGATTTTATTTATATAACTATTACTTACAAATGCTATCAGTTTTATGATTATTATGTAGTTTGCGTTCATCGATGATCTTTTTGGTCAAGTCGTCGAAATAACGACAGGCGCTCATATCGAAGGGTTCGGCGCCTATTAGCCGTCCCAACCCCGGGAACAGCCCCGACACGATGATACCAAAGCTCGCGTCGACACTCAATATCTTGCGGGCGTTGAGTACCAGCGGATGGTTAGGGTTTGCGATGGACTCCACGTCTATGCCGTACCCGCACCGGGAGATCACGTCCATAGCGAAAGCCCCCACGTGTTTGCGTATGTCTATGGCTTCACCTGGGTAAACATTCAAGAAATAAATTATTCGGTTTCTAACATATAAAATATTAATAAGTAATTTTCCCTGCTGTAATTATTAATTTATTTACTATAATATATGGCTAAAAATACCAAAAATAATACAATATTAATAATTTCATAAGTACTTATAATATTACAAATTATAATACAGCTCATTTATAAATAAATATATTATAGTAAATTGGTAGTAATATATTTGTTTGCCTATTTCCAATATAACACACAATTTGATAATTCTATACTATTTTAATAAATCATTTACAGCTAACAAATGAAATGTTTATTACCCCTTAGTTTAAGTTATATTGAATTATAAGGAAATAATTTGTACCTGATGCTTCGTGCTGAGACAAACTCTGTATAAATCTGTCGGAAATGTCCGATATGTGAGCCATCATTGCCCGCAGTTTACCCGACGTGAACACCGGCGACAGTATAGAGCGCTGCCGTTTCCAGTCGTCATTCCCGGGCATAAAAAACAGACTCTTATCCAGTTTAGACGTACCAAGGTGAAAGTCCAAGTGGTGTGGCCATACGTGAAAGTCCTTGACAAATATGTCCCTGAGCAAATCGGCGTCATTGATGTTGATTACTTTTTGCGTGAAAGTGTACATGCCAAATATGCGGCCATATTTTTGTTGATACCCCACATCTACTTCATGTAATGGTTTAAGAACCTGGCGTAAATCAACATATTTTGGCCCTGGTACTCCATGTCTGGTCCAGTATGAGTAGTATCGTTTGAGATACCTATTTATATAAAATATATATATAATAAAGTATTATATTATATTTATTGACTATAAAATGATATATAAAAATTAATAGTTTAATAAATTATTTATTACTTACAAATAAATTGCCGTGATAATTATAACAAATATTGAGATGTAAGTTAAATTAACCATTATTATAAAATTAAAGTTTTTAAAAAATACATAAATCCTTTTAAAAATTTTAATGAATTTAACTAGAAAACACTGTTTATATACGATACTTTTTATTTTATCAGCATTATGTAATGGTATTTGAAATGGCCAATCACATTCACATTTAAGCCTAAATATATGATAAGATAAAATAACAATAATGATTTTAAATTCAAGGTCTCGATGTGCATGTTGCACTTTTCAATATCAAAATAAACTGAATTCACTATGCAATCATAAACAATAATTAAATGTGCCGGTTTCCAAATGAGGTAGTACAGTATTATAATATATTATACGAAACTAAATTATTTTAGATAAAATTTAATGTTTTAAAAATAATTATAAATTTATTGAAACTTAATGAAATTGTATTTAAAAAAATATTTATTAAATTATATTTTGATATTAATTAGATCATATGCATAGTTAATAAATGTTTAAAAATTGAATTAATATATGAATTAACAAAATACACTGTAAAGTATTAGTTGTGCTTGAGTTTGTAAACATTGGCCATAACTGACGCTAACTTGGGTATAAGCCAGGGTGATTATATCTATAATTTTATATATATTATCAAGATAATCACATATTTAATTGCCACTGTCACGTTATATCCTTAATTGTAAGGGAGTGCAGTTAAAAATGAACCGGCATATAATTAATGTATATTAGAAATTATATTAGAAAATATATTAAAGGCAAATCATTTTAAGTTGGTTAGTTTTTAAAAAATATTTTGGTCTCAATAACTGGTGTTTATTGGTATTGAATGCAGACATATTGAGCCATTTTCCGACAAAAGGGTTCGCAATGAGACACCTGTGTTGACGCCTTTGGGTCTGCGATAGGCCTTAACTTTCACTGTATTAAGCATTTGATATCAGTTTTGATTCATTTGAAATCCGAAAACCTTTAAAACATGAATAGATGCGACTGGAAATAAACTGTAGACATATAGACGCCAACACAGGTGTCTCATTGGAAACCCTTTTGTCGGCAAATAGCTCGATATGTCTGCATTCAATACCAATAAACACCAGTTATTGAGACCAAAATATTTTTTAAAAACTAACCAACTTAAAATGATTTGCCTTTATTTATATTTTTTAAAAATGCAAAACTAATAAGAATTCAATACTATTTATAAAAATTAAGTTTATTAATAACATCAAATTACTTAATTACATAATTTTATTTATTATTCTAAAAATTAATTTTATTGTGATAGCATGTATAATAAAAAGTAGCCAGTTTAATTTCTCGATTTAATATAGCACATAAGTGTCTTAGGTGATAGTGCGGGTGAACCCTTAAAATAGTCCATTTTAAATCCAGGGACTAATTTAAACTCAAATTGGTGCACCATTTTAGCCAGGCACATTTGCATTTCATTTAATGCAAACCGTTGTCCAATACATAACCTAGGTCCACCACCAAATGGCATATAGGCGTAGGGATGGTGTTTAGGTTGAATCCAACGTTCAGGTAAGAAGTCATTGGGGTTGTCCCAATATTTAGAATCCCGGTGCAATGCGTAGGTACTAACAGTCATAGAAGTACCAGCTGGTATTGTAATACCTATAAATAAATGATATTATTAAAAATATCAGTATATTAGAAAACATTATTTGAAACATTACAGTATATTAATGCACTATATAATTTAGCCTTGGTTAATTTTTAAAATTTTAATATTTAATCTAATGTCAACCAATTTATAAATATAATTTAAATATTCGATAATTGATTAAATATTTTAAAATATAATTACAGTATGGATACTAGAAAATATTATACAAAATCGAGGGTTAAATGTAATAATTATAAAGCTACTCAAAGTAGACATTTTAGCACTATTGATTTGTGAATCTAAAAACGTAAATATAAAATCATAAAATTTAATATTTATTTATTACCTGTATTTCCGAGGGGGTAGTCCTCAACGCATACCCGAAATAATCGTAAAAACGACGGCGCGAATCGTAGGGTCTCATTGATGACTGCATTCAAGTACTTCAAGTGAACCAACTTTTCGTACGTAAACTCATCGCATGTTTTCAACTCATCGTACAGTTTCTGTTGACACTCCGGATGAAGGGACAGATAGTATATGGCGTGAGTTAGGGCTGCACTGGTAGTATCGTAGCCGGCGACGAAAAATAGGATTCCCTGGGCTACCATTTCATCAATAGACAATGTCCCTGATGGCTTTTTAAATGTCTGTTCAGCGCTTTTGTCGTCCGGTTCCCCATCACTGATAGAGTCGTATCCGAAGTCTTTG